AACCAAGGTGGTTTTCTATATATCGCGTCGATTAATTAATTTTTTTTTTTTTTCGCAATAATTTTTTTTAATAATAATTCAAATTTTTTAAAATGTCGGACGTTATCGTCATCGTTGTAGTTGTTGTTGTTGTTTGTTGTTTGTTATTTTCACTACAATTTAAAAAAAAAAAAAACTTAGAAAATGAAATTTGATTTATTATTGAAAAAAAAAAAAAATTTATTACTGAGATTAAGCTCTACGTGAAAAAAAAAAAAAAATAGAAACTAGTTTTGCGAGTAATAAGATATTTTTTAATTTTTTAAATTTACTTTTACAAAAGGAAGAAGATGATTTGGGGGGAGGTGGGGGGAAGAAAAGAAGAGAGAGAGAAAGGGGGGCAGGTTGAAGAAGGTAGAAAAGGAAAACAATAAAGCAAAAAAAAATTCATCGTCGTACTAACGGTTTTGTTTAATACGATTTACGTCGGAGGAAGATTCCGTCCCGATGAGAACGTACCGCGTCTGCCTCCGGGGGTTGAAGAGAAGAGAGAAAAGCCCTTAGTGAGGGACACCATTGTCTGCCCGGGTCTCTCCTCTATCGGGGATGCTCTTCCGGAAGGGAATCCCGTCTCATATGAACCAAAAGTAGCTCATGCTCTTGACTGGGATTTTGAGTGAAATGCTGGTTATATTCCCCTTCCAAAAGAGCTGTAGGCTACCATCTCCAGGAGTTTTAGTAGCTAATAGCTGCAGCTTCCCACACTCTCCCTTCTACCTGGTGGGTAGGTTAATGCGAAAAGCATTTCCTCTCGGTTAAAAAGGTACATAAGTTAATTACAATCCATAAATTCCAGACACTCATTCCATAACTTTTAAATAAAGCATCGTAAATAAAAAATAAATGAACCTGCATTACTACTACTACTACTAGTACCACATGGAATTTTCCGGTATCATTATCAAACATTTTTCATTCTCACTTTTTTTATTATTATTAATATTAATAATAATAATAATTATTATAATGATAGTACCTTCGGGTGAATTTTTCGTTATTAATTTTAACAAACATAAATAATTTTTTGATAAGAAACATTATTATTATTATTTATGTTTATTTAATTATCAACATTATGTCTTGCCTCAAGTTTCGACCTTTATAATACTCATCCAATAGAAACAAACCTTATTTTTACAGCCAAACCCATTTTGAAAAGGTCAACAATTTCTTTATAATCAATTGAAGATCACAATCCTCTCTCCCTCCCTCTCTCTCCCCTTCCCCCTCTCCTCTTTCTCTTCTTAATTGAAATAAGTAAATAATTTTCTTTAAATGATTACTATTATTATTGTTTCATTCGTCACAATTTTTTATTTTTTCACAATTATTATTATCATTATCATATTATCATCATTTAATTTTTTTCCCACGTGTCTTATCACGTGCATCAACATAATCGATAAAATTATCATTATTATTATATCAATAAAAAAAAAAAAAATTAAATTGACACGAACGGGGGGATTCGTTTGTTTAATTTGGCAACGTAGCAAATTCCTTTTGTTTTTTCCGTTTTCTGCTCGCGACAAACGAAAACAAACAAAAAAACGAGGATGGTAAGAAAAAAAAATTTTTTTAATTTATTATTATTATTATTATTAATATTTAAAAAAATTTTTTTCTTTTTTTTTACCTTCGACTAAAACGGATTAAAGCCATTATATATACCGATACGATAATAATAATAATAGTAATTATTAATAATATCGTTAATTTTATCGGTTTTTTTTATAATATACATAAATATATTATATTGTGATGATGATAATAATGATTTATATATATATGAATTTTATTTATATGTTTGCGAATCCGTTTAAATTAATAGGTTGTAAGATTAAAAAAAAAAATAAAAGTATTATTATTATTAATATTTACTCAGTCAAAGATATATTATTACTATACGTTATGTATTTATTTATGTATACGTGTAAAAGTTATATTAGTTATAAATTTATTTATGTTAATAAATTACAATATTATTTATTTTAATAAATTAAAATTTTTTTAATATAAAATTTAATTAAAAAATATTTTTTAATAAGAAGATTACATAAAAAAATTTATTATTATTATTAATATTTATTATTACGGGTTGAATATAAGTTAAATAAAAACGATTTATATTTATTATATGTTGAAAGTATTGTTTGTCTGTTTGTTTGTTTGTTTTATTAATTTTTCGTAATAATTTTAAAATTGTATACATATATATACTGCGAAAGAATTTCGTAGATTTTTTTTTTGGGTAAGAATCAGGTAGTTAAATTTTTCGTCTTCTGCTTCTTCTTCTTCTACTTCTTCCTTTCGACAAACAACAAACAAAATTTCCTTTCATTTATTCACTATTCGTTATTATTATTATTATTAAAAATTAAAAGGTTTTTTTTTTTTTTTTTTTAAATTCGGTTTCTACAAAAAAAGGTATTTTATTTTTTTTGTTTGTTGTTGTTTGTTATTTTCAAACAGTTGTTTTTAAAAATTTATTTTTGTTTTTTCCGTCATGAAACAAACAAACAGGTACCTTTTGTCGGTCGGAACGGCGGTAGGGCGGTAACAAATCCATTTAAACAAAATTCTTATAAAAACAAACAATAATAATAATTTTTTCTTTCTTTCTTTCTTCTTATTTTTCGGGTCCCTGCCATTTTTTTTTTTTTAATTAAAAATAATAATAATAATTTTTTTTTTTGTGTTCGAGATGTTGCCAACACTGAAAACAAGTTCATATTAGTAGGTCAGGGCGGACGTGAAACCTGTGCCATTTTACTGATAATTCATACTCATGTAAAAAAAAAAAAAAAAAAAAATTGAAAAAAAATTCTCGTTTTTGTTTTGGTTTCGTTTTAATTTAATCACGTGACACGTTCGACACGCATTATCATTATAATAATTATTATTATTATTATTATTTAAATGAAATAATGGCGAATTAAAAAAAAAAAACAACAACTACTACTCGAAAATGTAATGGACTCAACTTTTACTTTTCAATATCATTTTTGTCACAATTTTCACGGTTTTATTTAATAATAATAATTATTATTATTATTATAAGAAAAGTAATAATACTAATAATAATAATAATGTCGTGTGCCCAAACCGGAAACGTGTGTGTGTCTGTTTATGTGCTTTTACAGGATGTTAAAGAGAAGAGGAAGAGGAGGAGGAAGCTGCAGATGTGTTGTTATTCGAATTCATATTTTCGAATGAGTATCCTTCTTCCCTTTTTCTCCCTTTTTTTTTTTATTCTGGATGAATTTTTTTTTTTTTTGTAACGTAAGCGGAAGAAGGGATTTTTTTTTGTTTCTATTCTGAAGCACAACAACCGGAAGTCATTTTTGTCAGCTTTTAAAATAATAATAATAAAATTGCGCCATCGTTTTTTCGATTATTTTTCTTTTATCCCTTCATTCCACCCTTTTATCATTTTCGTTCATTGTCTTTCTTTTTTTTGTTTGTTTGTTTGTTGTTATTACGAAAGGTAAAGTGATTAAAAGAATATATATTTGAATCGTTTGTCGTTTGTTTTGTAAATTTTATTTTTGTAAATCTCAACCGTATGTGCGTTTAAGACAAAAAAAAGCTAATGTGCACGTGCACACACTCACAAATTTTACTTCCGTTTGTTTTATTATTGTCTTCCGTACAACCGGAAACGACCTCTTAATTAATATAATTTTCAAATCATTACATTAATAATAATAATAATAATAATAATAATAATAATAATAATTGAAATTTTTTTAAAAAATCAAATCAAAATTTTCGGTTAAATTTTATTCCATAAAATTTTATTTTAAAAATTTCATAAAAATTATTTTAAATAATCGTCCCGGGGGGGGGCTAGTGAGGGGCGGTAAAGAAAAGAGGAATAGCGTCATATAACAATGATAATAATAATAATAATAACGAAACGAGTCCGAAATAAAAAACAAAAAATTATTTTTTGCGGCATAAAAACAGTATCGAATTATAATAGTTTTGCATTTTTTTGTTCGTTCGTTTGTTTGTTTGTTTATATTAAAAACACAACCGTTTGTTTTTTTTTATCACCGGACATATTATTAATCTTAATCAGTTTCATCTAAAAAATTCGGATGTTTTACAAAAAAAAAAAAAGAAAGCAAAACGCAAACACGCGTTTGTGTTTGTGTTTGCGTCTGTGTGTGTGTGTGCATAGTGGTACGAGAATAGCAGCATGTTCGTGGCAAAAGAAATAAAAGAAATAAAAAAAAAGTATAATTTGATACAAACGGTTAAAAGGAAGCTTTAAAAACTTGTCAAGGTGGTTTACTTATTTGCCAGAAATGATTTCAAACATCCAAAATACCGCCACCACCACCGCCGCCATGTGTGAGTTAAACACAGGTAACGTCCATCCACGATTATTATTATTATTCTGATAAAAAAAATCCCGTGATATTTTTAAACTCGTGCTATTTTTATTATGTTTATTATTATTATTATTATTATTATTTAAATGCCGCCCGTGAAATATTATACCTTTAAGAATTATTTTGAATAAGACAAATGATATATAAATACCTATTATGTTAAAAATAAATTTTTTTCTTTTTTTTTTTTTTATTTACGATTTAATACTCTCATTTTAATGTAAATATTTTTATCATGATGGGTGGCATAGAAAAAAAAAACGACGCAATAAAAATTAAAATAATAAATTATGTTAATAATAATAATAATAATAATAATAATAATAATAATAATAATAATAATAATAGGGAGCATCAAAGAAAGAAAGAAAGGGAGAAAATAGTTATTGTTAAGTTATAAAGTCATGTTTGTAAAAGTTTAATTACTCATAATTTCGATTTTTTTTTTAATAAATAAATAAATCCGGTTTTCCACGCACACGCACACGCACACACGCACAAACGCCACGTTATTTTTTTTAAAAGAAAAAAACTGGAATATTTTTTTTTTAAAGTAGGTAAATGCGAGCAGGTGTATTAGCTAATGTGAGAAAAAAACTTTGGTACGAGGTCTTTGACCAAAAATGTTTAACCGGAATAATTTAAATAAAAATAAATTTCAATATTAAAATTTTCGTTTTTTTTTTTTTTTTTTTTTTTTTTTTTGTACACACTCGAGATGAAAAAGAGAGAGAGAGAGAAAAAAAAATTCTCACGGCTATAAACTTAATAAAAAAAAAATTTTAATTGAGTTTATGGAATATGACTATACACACACAAAAAATCATTTTCGTGAATAATTTAACGCCCTTTTCGCGTATTAAAAAAAAAAAAAAAAACGAACAAGTAGTATGCGAAGATAATAATAATAATAATTGATTTATGTTATTATTATTATTATTATTATTTACTTAATATTTCGTGACATCAAATTATAATAATCGATCGATCCATCGTTAAAATTTTTTTTCTTAACTTATTTAAATATCAAAAGAGAAAAAAAAAATTTCTTTTGTGTGTCACCACCACGATGATTATTATTATTATTATTTTGCATTATACGTAACGCGTGACGTACAAGTGAAATTTTTTTTTTTTCAATCGAGTTGATTAATGCCCTCAAGTTTCAATATTGTGTGAGTACAAGGTAGGTACCTGACACAAACAATATTAATTTTCATCGAACGTGCCTGGCTAAAAAAAAAAAAAAAAAAAAAAATCAAATCAATGAAATTTTTTTTTTATAATTATTAATATTATTATTATTACTATTATTATTGGAGCGGTAAAGAAAGTTACAATTTTTGTAATTAAAGGTTTACTACTATCAATTCTTTAATTATTTCTCTCTCTCCCCCTCCCTCCCTTCATCCCTACCTCCCTCTACCACCGATATCGAATTGAATTTTGCGTTAAAAAAAGGATAGGGAAATTTCAAATTTCCCGCCAAAATAAAAAATTATTATTTTTTCGATTGAATTTAATTACGAGTTTTAGTTTTTTTTTCAGAATAATAATAATAATTGGGAGTACGCAGGGGTTTTAAGAAGGTCATAATTACGAGAAGAAATATTTTGAGTGACGAAAGAACGGTACGACAAACACAAACGAGTTCGTACCACGAATTTGCACTACAAACAAACGGAACTCTTTGTGCAAGTCAACAAACAAACCGGAAATAATCCCGAGGCGCATAGTTTCTTAATATAATTGTCACATCCGTACCGGAGGATAAAAAAAAATAGTCATCCAGAGGGTGAAATACAGGAATTTTGCCAGGATGTGGAAAGTTTCGATCATCGTGAGAATCTCGCGGGATCCCGGTTCGATATCCAAAGGGCAGTTAAACTCATCGGTTTCATTCATTCTTCGAATGCACCACCACCACCACCACCGCTGATATTCTCATCTGTACATTCGACAAGTACATACTTTTATATCAAAATAATAATAATAATAATAAATGATAAAATGTAAATTGAAAAGCAGCTGCTGTTTATAAAGGCACCACCGATTGATATTTTAACGTTTGCCAATGTATTATTATTATTATTATTAGTTCGGAGTGGGTGAGGAACGTGCGGTGACGCGTGGCCTACAGGTGAGGAGGATACACACACACACACACCAACTTTATCATCATCCTTTCAATAAAAGGTAAAAAGGTAAATACTTTACCAATACAATGTTTAACCTCATCTAACTACGAAACCATTTTGATTTCTCTCTCTCTCTCTCTCGCTCCTGCCACAACCTAAGAAATTACTTTTTTATATATATTTTACCCTTAACAAACAATTTTTTTCATTTCATGCTCGCCCTCTATTTGATTCATCCTCCCTCTCCCTTTTCTATAAAAAAATGTGTCGTCGTCGTCTTTGTGTGTGTGTGTTTGCGTCGTGCATGTGGATTCAAAATCGATGGATGAGAGGAATACGAGATCGTTCCAATGGATTTTTATTATTATTATCATCATTTTTTTTCCCCCTCATGTTTAACAAATGAAACGAAACAATATATTAAATTTCTCCTTTGATTTTTCACTTTTTTTCCTTTTTCAATTGATTTTATCCGTACTGATTTTATGCAGGATTTATTTATCATCTCCTTTCATGAACAAAAAAAAATTTAACGGACAAAATTTTTTTTTTTTTTTTCCTTTGTTTACCTTTTGAAAACGATTCTAACGTATTTCATCATCATTATTATTGTTATTAAATGTCAACGTTTGACGAATAAACGAAACGTGAAAATTCGATACATTTTTTTCCCCCCGATCAAATCGTTTAAAGAGATTTTCGAACGTTGGAAATTTAAAAAAAAAAAAAAAATGGCGCCAAAAATATAAAATTTTTAATAAGGAAGGCCGTGTTTTATTGCTTAAATTTATTAAAAACTTGTTTTTTTTTATTATTGTAAAATATACTAATTATTATTATCATTACGTAACACTCCATCTTTTTTAGGAACCGTCTTGAAGTTAAAAAAAAAACCCTCGATAATTTTGGAAAAAAAAATATGGCGGCGATAAAAATAAAACGGCCGAAAATCGACGTGAGTGAGGTAATAGTAATAATAATAATAATAAAGCACCGTTGAAGAAAATATTATACATATGCACATGTATAAAAAAAAAAAAAAAAAAACAAGATTTCGATTGAATAGAAAACTTGAAAGACAGGTGAGCAAATTTAAAAAAAAAAAATCCCGAGGGTTGAACCTGGAAGAATAATAATAATAAGAAGAAGAAGCCGTTGCTTGCATTCGGTAGGTAATACAAAACAATTCAATATTATTATTATTATTATTACATTCAATGGAATCAAGGTTTTTTTTTTTTTTTTGAAAAAGGTAGGTAAAAATAGGGACACTAACACAATATATATATATATATATGAACTTGTGCATTTTTTTTTCAAGGGTCAAAGAGGGATAAAACAAACGTGGTAGTAGCATTGGTGGTGGTGGTAGTAGGGGTAGTAGCAGCATGTAAAGGTGGCGAGCAAAGGTGCGTTCATGTTTTTTTTTTTTTTTCGAATAATAATAAATTTGCGGATTCAAAGATTTTTTATTTTTTTTGCTATCAGAAATTATAAAAATTTTCGTGATAACGACACGAAAAATAATTTATTACGTAATAACTAATCGATTTTATTATATACCAATATACATTTAAATGGAAAATTCTCGTTTTTATTATTATTATTATCATCATCATTAATAATCATCGTATAAGATATTAATAATAATAATTTTTTTCTCGTATATGAAAACATAAAAAAAAAATTATTATTATTTATAAAATTATTGATATTTTATTAATGATGACTACAAATTTTATTTATTTATTTATTAATAAGTAAAGTAAATGTAGTGATAACGGACAAACTACAAAGGTAAATAAAAGGAAAAAAATGATAAGAGAGATTTATCGTGATAACTCCACCCACATCATTAAAAAAAAAAGAAAAAGGAAAATTAAAGTTCATTAAAATAAATTATTGTTGTTAAAAATTTATATAATTTTAAAATTTGTAATGATAATAATAATACTAATACTAATGATACTGATAATGATGATGATGATGATGATGAAAATATGCAAAGTTGAAAATTAAATATAAATTACTTAAAATATGGCGGTTTTAATAAAACTACAAAACAAAAAAATTTTTTTTTTTTTATAAAAATATTTGACGGACGAACGTGTAAAATGAAACTCTCTCTCTCTCTCTCATTTTTTATCTCTCTCTCTCTCTGAAACGTCACAGACTCTTTTTTTTTCTTAAAGTTTTAAATTTCATTAATAATATTTAAATTTACAAAAAAAAAAAAAAAAAAAATGTAAGGTTAAAATTTAAAAATAAACAAAAAAAGGACGCCAAAAATCGTGTTTACAAAACCTTGCCGTGTCATTAGAATTAATTTTTTTTGTGTTTTTGTTAATTCGTTTCGATTTATTAATATCAAATTTAAGTTAAATTGTATGTTTACGTTAATAATTAATTTTAAAAAAAAAAATTTCGTTTTATGTTATTAAAAAAATAATAAGAATAATAATAATAATTGATATTTAATAATAATTAATAATAACAGTTAGTAATTAATAATAATTATAATAATAATAATAATAGGAAGGTGATGATGTAAAGAGGGCGCGCGGGAGTGTAATGGTTGACATGCATTTACATCATGCCAATTTATTTAATTCGTTTTAATAGTTTTTTTAGTAATTTAGTTATTAGTTATGTGTCAAAAGTTTTGTTATTTAGTGTAGTTTATTGTGATATAATTAGTTTTTTATATTATTCAGTGATAATTGTGTTATTTTAAGTTTTAATTTACTAAATGTCAACGGTTTCATGTGACAAATGGAAGCGTGGGTAATGGAAAATCTTAGAAGATGTTTTATTACATTTGATTATTATCGGTGAGTCTCTCATTTTAAACGTGTATTTCGCTTGCAAAAACGTTGGACTAACAAAAAAATGGAGCCAAATGCCCTAACAAACAGTTTAATGAATTTTGCATTTATTTGGTTAATTATGAGTAGTTTGACTAAATATCTTTTTCATCTCATTCTTAAAAACATTAGTTGGAATAATTTAATGAAAATATGTAGTAATAATGATTGATTTGATATATATTAACTCAGTGTACAAATGTCTATACTCTAATGTGTAAGGGTTAATTTACCTACTGTTTGTTGGTTGTTTGAGTAATTTACAGGTTTTAGGCCATTTCTTGAGTTAGTTTGTATCATTACAAGATAGTTTATTGTATTTACAGTGTAATACTATCATAAATGTGTATCAAAATCAGGAAAACACAGTAGCCTTTAGGTTAGTTAATTGTAATGTAAGGAATTACAAAAAGGGCCATGAACAGACTTCATTTGATAATTTTACATTTCTTGACCTGATTATAAGTAGTTGAACTAAATATGTTTGTCATACTGCATGAAATTTGTGGTAATTTAGTAAAAATACTTGTAATTAGTTAATTTATTGCATCAGGTGGATGTAAAATCTTTGTACTCCTGTGTTAAGTGTGAATCTAATGGTTGTACATTGCTTTAACCCTTTTCTTGAGTTAGTTTGTATCATTACAAGATAGTTTATTGTATTTACAGTGTAATACTATCATAAATGTGTATCAAAATCAGGAAAACACAGTAGCCTTTATGTTAGTTGATTGTAATGTAAGGAATTACAAAAAGGGCCATGAACAGACTCCATTTGATAATTTTACATTTCTTGACCTGATTATTAGTAGTTGAACTAAATATGTTTGTCATACTGCATGAAATTGGTGGTAATTTAGTAAAAATACTTGTAATTAGTTAATTTATTGCATCAGGTGGATGTAAAATCTTTGTACTCCTGTGTTAAGTGTGAATCTAATGATTGTACATTACTTTAACCCTTTTCTTGATTTAGTTTGTTTCATTATAACATATTTTGCCATGTGTTTAGTGTAAAATTCTCTTTTAATGTCATTTAAGATTAGAAAAATTCAACTGCCTTCAGATTACTTTAGTTTGTAGGTACAAAATGGTGATTTGTATACTGTGTTGTAATTTGTATGCTGTAATTATATATGTATACTGTGAATGCATTAAGAATGGAATGCATGAGGGAAAATTATACAAATGGGAATGTATGAGGGGAAATAGTAGGAAAATTAAGTATTGAAATAGTTCTGAGAAAAAAGTAATATGATAACTGATTCATAATTGTAATAGAGTAAAATGAGAACAAGATAAAGGCACAACCAAAAAAAATCTTGTCCTATTGTTGATCTGAGTCAGCTCTTGACAAGGTTGTGAATCTCACTTCTTCTGTACCTGGCTTCACTCCACAAATGTCAGTCACTGGAGCCCAGTACAGAAAATGTATACAGTATAGGAAATATATGATCTCAGAAAGACTTACAAGAATTTTTGTGAACCTGTTTAGGTTATAAAAGATAAAAACCTATTCAAAGACATAACTACACTTATATTTAGGCAATTATTCCTTAGGGATCGGGTAGAAACTTGTAATAAATGTTGAAAAAGCTCCGACAAACATTAAAACGAATTGTAGTGATCATGAGTGAAAATAATAATAATAAACACCACAATTGTAGTCGTTTTTTACCGAACAACAAAAAAATTTTTTCTTTTTTCTCTTTTTTATCTTTAAAAAATTATCAAAATGTAAATAAAAATTATTATTATTATTATTATTTTTTAGTTGTTGTTGTTGTTGTTGTTGTTGCTGCTATTATTATTATCATTATTATTAACTTAACCGTTGAACGTTATAATTTTTTTTTCTTCTTCTTTCAATGCTGTTTACAGGTTATTGACATATGTGAGTGAGTGTGTGTGAGAGAGAGAGAGAATATAAAATTTTCATGAATAAAATTTATTGTAAATAATAATAATAATAATAATAATAATAATAATAATAATAATAATAATAATAATAATAATAATAATTTTTATTCATTAAAATAAAATTTTTCGGCGTTATTATCGTGTAAAAAAAAAAAAAAATTTTTATGGGGTACCGCAATAATACCCACACGTATTGAACTTAATATCACCATTATCATCATCATTATCATTATCATCGTCATCTACGTCATGAATTTATTCAACAAGGTCTTCTTTTTTATTAAATATAAATTAATTTTTATACGTTGATTTAATGGCAAAGTTTAAAAAAAAAAAAAAAAAAATTTTTTTTCTCGGTTGGTGGCCGGCCGCATTTTCTTAAACGTTTTTATAATTAAATAAATAAAATAATAATAATAATAATATTCATTTCGTTCATATTAAATAACGATCGAAAATTTTTATTTTTACGATTATTATTAATAATAATAATAATCGTAAAAAATAAATCGATAAAAAAAAAAAAACGTATTTTTTTTTTAAACGGGAAATGATTTCGATTATTGTTCAACATCGTTGAATCCGCATTTGAAAAAAAAAAAATGTTAATAGTGTGTGTGTGTGTGTGTGTGTGCACAGAAGAAGAGCCTGGTGCAGAGATTTGTTGTATAATTTTTTCTGGTGCCGTGCGCCATGGGCATCGGCACGCGTCCATCAACACCCCTTCTTTTGTGCAAATCACATCTGCCACCTCTCCACCTTGCATACTTATTTTAAACAAAAAAAAACCGGTATTGCACGATCTTTTAAGTCTGGAATGGAATCGTCGTTATTATCGAAATGAACACAAACGACAAATTCTACCTTATATTAATTATTATTATTATTATTATTTTTCGTTTGTTTTAAATGATTGTTGACGGTTGGAAAATTGAAAGTTTTTTTTTTTTTTTTTATTTAGGTACACCTCCCTGAAAAATTATCAAATTTAAAAACTTTCATTATTATTTAACTCTAAATCTCCTCCTTCCCTCCTCTCTCCCCTAACCTAAAAAATCACCGTTTAGCTTTTGGGGCACAGATGAGAGGGGGAGGGAAGAAGAGAGGGAACGGAAAAATCTAAAACGAAACTTGCAAACCAGTATATTCCTTATACACTTGCCTTAACCGACTTCTCACATACCCTTTAAGATTATTTTATTTATTGATGACGTCATAAATAAATTATTACGCGTAAGTTTTTATAAATGTGTTGTTGTTTGTATTTGTTCTCCTTATGACTTTTTATTATTATTAAATTACATAATTTTTTAAAATTATTATTAAATAATTATTACGGTTTTTTTCTTTTCTTTTTTTTTGGCGGGGGGGAACGGGGGGTAAGTGAAGAATTACGTAACTTTTTTTTTTGCAAATTATTATTATTATTATTATTATTATTATTATTATTTCGAATAAAAAAAAATCGTTCGAATAATAATAAAATAAATAAATAAATGACGCGTGGGAGGTGAATTAATGAGAAAATGAAAATAAAAGAAAAAAAATGAAAAATAACTTACAACAACAACAACCACAACAACAACAACAACAAAACTGGTATTGTTTGTTATTATTTATATGGAATCCGTTCATTAATCTCTTTTCTTTTTTTTTTCTTTATTCATCCTCACTTTATTTTACACGCACGCACACACGTACAAAATATATATTTTTAATATGATGGTAACCCTGTTTTATTATTAAAAAATAGGTGATATTA